GGCGAGCGCACTGCCGGCCCCGCCGCGCGCCCGCTCCGCCCCGGCGGAGCCCCGGCCTCATCCACGCTTCTTCCCTTGCAGGAGGCTCAACAAGCGCGAGAGGATCGGGGAGCTCGGCGCGCCCGAAGTCTGGGGGCTCTCGCCCAAGGTCCCTGACCCCGAGTAAGGCCCCTGTCGCCCTTCCCCTCCTCTTCCTCGCGCTGCTCGTGCACTGCGGCAGCTGCTAACGCTGCCTCGGCCCCGCGCTGCTCCCGTCCGCAGTTGGCCACGTGTCAGAAATTCATGTCCGTGACACAGCTGGCTTAGGAATTTTCTAAATTACTCCAGGGTATCCAGTGCAGGAGACTTCAGCATGTGGCTGGTCAGGTAGATCAGATCCCTCTGTGCTCTGGTTCTCAAAGCACTTCGCAGGTGACACTTTGGCTGTTTAATTGTTTCATTCATTGCAAATTTTGTCTCAAAATCTGCAAGCATATGTTTGGTCAGTTGTATATATTTGATATTGAATTACTAAACATTACAAAGTGGGTTTTGAGTAGTAATAATCTTTTTGTTTTTACTCAGTTCTGATGAGCATACCCCTGTAGAAGACGAAGAGGCAAAATCTAAGAGCAGTTCTTCGGATTCCAGCTCAGAAGGTATTTTGTTTGGCCTATACAGCCTGTTTACAAACTTGGAGGTTACCTAAGGCTGCTGTCTGTTCTTGTGGCTTTGCTGGGATTGAGTGATCTGATGGGCTGCAGTTCAAATGAGAACATTGCCTCAGCAAAGTACATATGGAGCTAGATAATCTTCACCTCTTCTCTGACATTATAATTTGAAATGTTCTAGAGGAGAAAAGGAAGAAGAAGAAGAAAAGGAAGAAGAAAAAACAAAAGGCATCCAAAAGAAAACGCAGAAAACATTCTGAGGACAGCGACAGCGAGTCGGAGTCAGACTCTAGTGGTAAGAAAAGAGTTTCTGTTGATCTGTGTGGTCTAATTGCTCCGGCTGGGCTCCTCCCAGCGCACAGCAAAGCTCCAGCTCCTGCAACCATGAAACTGCAGAGCGGCCACATCAGCCGTACGCACTTTTCTTTCTCTGTCTTATAGATTTGCAGTCGGTTTTCCTTGATGAGCACTTGCAGTGTTCCTCTGGAAGCAGCATCTCTGAATTTCATATCATGCCAGATGGCTCCTGAGTGTAATGAATAATAATGCGAGCAGCTTTCCATTAACATTGCCTCCGTAATCTGCTACTGAAGCAAATCATGGTCGAGAACCTCTTTACTAAAGCATTCAGCTGGAGGAAATGTTTGTTTGCTCACAGTGCAATAAATCTGTTTTTTTTTTTTTTTTGTTTTTTTTTAGATCAGGCACCTCTTTTGTAGTGACTTATACTTTTTTTTTCAGAAGAAGATAAGAAGAAAAGCAAAAAGAAGAGGAAGAAGCACAGAAAGTGAGTTTCTAAATTGTTATGTATAATTGTACCTGCTTTTCAGTAGAGGGCAGCACCACCCTCTTAGCTGGCGATGGGGAAGACTGTGCACTCCTGTAATTAAGACCATCAGTACTATCAAACCATCTTAGTGTGACATATCATCTTTAAATGTACCACACCCTTTGAGCAGTGCATGAAAAGCATGACTGGATTTATTATTCTTGTTTTGCCATAAAATATTTCCTGTCAAAGGACACCAACCTGTATCTCTATAATCAGTCCTTCACTAGACAAGATTTGCTTTGAGAAACTAATCAGCTGATAATGCTTAAAATCCTCTTGAATTTTTGTGAGCAGCATTTCTGTCTGACTTTATCACAGAAAGAAGTATAAGAAAAAGAAAAATAGAAAGAGCAGGAAGGAATCCAGTGATTCAAGCAGTGAAGATTCAGATGATGAAACATTTCAAGGAGAAGATCTCTGGATTGAGAGATCAAGTAGGTTCACATGACTTTAAAATTTCCTTTAAAAATCCTCAGTACTGATTTCATTAATTTATTTGTTTGATGTTGCTGACCTGTAGCTAATCTGATAACAAGGAATAATGGACACAGTACTAACTTTCCTCACTGTTTGGTTGTTGCAGAAAATACAGAAGCTGACAGCCTCATTGGGCCAGAGGCTCCCAAAACACATGCGTCTCAAGATGACAGACCTCTTAAGTGAGTAGCTGGCTCTGATATTACTTAGATCAAATTACATAAATCAGCCATGAAGACTTCTGCCCAAAGGGACTGTTATAATAATATGACATGTGTTATAGAGAGATGCTATATCAAAAATTTAAGGACAGAAGTGGTAGTGATACTTGGTTTTACCTGAATTCAGGTAGAAGAATCTGTTTTATTAATTTTAGATGTGATTCCTAGATAAATTAATTGTTCTGTTCTTCAGTAAGTGTGCCCATGATACACTTTATTCTAATGATCTGTGTATTGTTACTTTATACAGCCTTCATTACTATTAATAAGTTTGATCAAACCAGTAATTTAAGCTGTTGTTCCTAGGGGTTGCCATAGAGAAGATAAGCCAGTACATGGGAAAGAATTTGCAAGTGCTTAAAAATGTGGCTGTAGCAAGTAGTGAGCAGGGAAGCTACTCACTGCTTTGCTTCAGGCCCCCCTCTGTTTGAGGCCGACTAAAAATCCTGTTGTTTGGTTGGTTTTGTTTGTTCTTTTAAGCTATGGACATGCCCTACTGCCTGGTGAAGGTGCAGCAATGGCAGAGTATGTGAAAGCAGGAAAACGTATACCCCGGAGAGGTGAAATTGGCTTGACCAGTGAAGAGATTGCATCGTTCGAGAGCTCTGGCTATGTAATGAGTGGTAGCAGGTATGGTTTGGATAATGGTTCAGTGAAGTTTCTAGAAGCTGCTTCCTCTGCTGGCCAGAGAAAAACTGGAGCCTGTAAAAAGTGCTTTCAGGCTCTAGGTCAAAATACAGAGAAAGGAGCATTCTGGGTGTTTGCAGTAGTCTGTGCTAACTACTTTTCAATACTGTTGTGTGGTGAATTTGATAAGGTATTTATCCTCAAGAGTTAGAAGTGGGTTAGCTGGATTTTTTTTTTAATGTTATGCTGCCTCTTCAGTGAGACAAATCAAAGTGCCAGGGGCTGGCCATGCTTTTCCATGCAGTACTGGAGTTTCACTTTACATTCTGGAGCACCAAAAGCTGGCGCTGTGGGGGCAGTAGGGGCTCTTTCCTCACTGCCGAAGGGCAGACACCTCCAAAAGGAGCTTCTAACTGCCATGCCTCTTCCTGAGGAGGTTTGTGTGCAGTGGGGACTCTCTGCTCCAGTTATCTTATTCACAAGCTGAAACTGTTTGGGTCAGTTGATGGATTGACACAGAGGGGCCTTGCATCCCTCTGTGTGTGCTGAGGAGCACAACGTTCTCCTCCCCAGGCATCGCCGAATGGAGGCCGTGCGTCTGCGTAAAGAGAACCAGATTTACAGCGCCGATGAAAAGAGAGCTCTGGCATCCTTCAACCAGGAGGAGAGAAGGAAACGAGAGAATAAGATCCTTGCAAGCTTTCGCGAGATGGTCTACAGGAAGACGAAGGGCAAAGACGACAAATAATTCTTTTTTTGAACTACACAGCATGGATTCTAGCAAGCAGCAGCTAACCTGTTCCAGTCATGATTTGAAAACAGCTTGCAAGTGCTGCAGTGCCTTTGACCCAAGGTGGCCAAGCCTCAGGAATGGATTACTTGAACGAAAAAGGGCAGTTATCTTTATCAGATTTTCTTGGATGGTTTGTTCACTATCTGCAGGGAATCCACTAAAGAGAAAGGCTGCGAGGCGCAGGAACAGGCAGGGAAGGTTTAAGGTGGGAATGCTCTGTGTTTACTTTGAATTGGACATTCAGAAGCATGCGTTGGGAGGGTTTTATGACCTGCTGCTGATACTGATAAGTGCTGTTTTCCTTTTATTTTGACTAATGAGAATAGACTGGCTGTCACAAACAAGCTACTCGTAATAGTAGTAAAATTTAAGGAATTCCTGTGTAGGATCTAAGACTGTCCACTTATGTATTTTTTTCATAAGTCCTTTAAACTTTTCTTTTTTCTCTCTCAAAACAGAAGAGTTTGTTTTGTGGTTCAAACTACACTTGTAAATAGATATGAGTTTGTAATTTAATACAGACTGGCTTCAGTTACTTTAAGCAAGCAGACTGCAATTGGGATATAAAATGACAGTAGCAATAGCAGGGTCTGATCTAGAATCTTCCACAGCCCAAGGTGAAGAACTAAGTTGCTTGCTTCTTCTTCTACTATGTTATACATAGGTATCGGAGCGGTGGGCTGCAGTGATTGGAACACCTGGATGTATGCAGGTGGTAACAAGGATGTATCCATTTGTTTTATTGTTGTTATTTTGTCTATGAAAATGCTCTAGATTAAAACTTGGTTTTAATTCTTGTACTTTAATTTGCTCTGATTCTCTCTCTCTGTGTCTTTTTCTTTTTTTTTCTTCTACTCCAACCTGAAATATTAGTGTTGTAATTTTAGCAGGGGAAACATCCTGTATGTTTGTATTAAAAAACCTTATGATGTTTGCCCTGGAATTGTGTAAACCTGGCTCTGACAAACAGCAAGTCCAGCCCAGCTGCCCCTTCATGTTTACACCGTATAGAACCTGGTGCTGCGCTGTCTTACCCAACCGTACCTGCAAGGGACTGCCATGGAAAGCAGCTGCAGATTATTTTTGTTAGTTGATTTTTACTAATTTTATGCACAGATTTAATGCTTGTTAGGCATCCATGCAGCTAGAGGAAAAAAAAATGGGAAGCAAGAGCCCTTCTTTTATTTTTTTATTGTTATGTGTATTTGATTCTCCACAAAATCCTGACAAACATTGTATCTGTGGTGGTGAGCTGGAGCTGTTCATTATAAAATAAGACTCTCCATGAGGATGATTTTATTTTCAATGATGTCTTTAAGCCACTTTTCTCTAAATCGACACTCTCCTGGCCTGGAGGTGGGAGTAATAACAGGGTAAATAGTAAGAATATTTTATTCACAAGATAGGCATATCTGCTGGAAAAAAATGCCCCCTAGACCTGCATAAACCCCTTGCAAATTCACTGTGTAGAAGGCAGGTGCTCATGGGGTGGCTGTCAGTGCTGTGGTTAGAGCAGAGCTGGTAAGATCAGGTTTTGCTCAGCAAGATTTTGATAATTACTTCTGCTTATAAAGGTTTTATTTACATCAAGCTCCCTGTTCGTTTTGGCGTGGGGAAACTTGCTAGAACTCCAGAGTCAGTAATGGGATGGTATTAATGTGTACCTGTGGATCAGCCTGCTCGTTTCCAGAATGAAGAACACCTCCACGGGCAAGGTCTGCAAGAGAAGAGGGACGGGCACAGCTCACATGCCGAGCTACGGGACATCAGAAAGATATTTTAATTCCGTGACAGCTACTAGCCGCTGCTTAAGAAACTTCTGCAGCACTTCTGGTACGGGTTAGATTAGTTTGTTTTAAAGCATCTGTGAGTATTCTGATGTGAAGGGAATGCTATGACCTTAATGGTTGGTGCTAGGATTTGATTTATGACTAGTGGCTGTGGTCTGTGAACTGCTGCTGCTCAGGAATCCAGAGCCAGTGAGTTACAAAAATACCTGAGGGACAGTATGACCAGGTGTAAGTTCTGGAAGAAAAAAGTAACTTTTTCCTCCTTCAGCTGCAAAATATTGTTGCACAGGTGAATATTGGAACATCCAGTATGTAGATGCCTAGACTGTGTGACTAAGCAAATTATTTCAGTAACAAGTGCAATAGAAACTTATGCAGAATGTAGAAGGGAGGGAATATCTGTAGTGTGTTTTGTGCGTTAGTATTTCAAAGGCTTTTCTGGAGCACAGTGCTAGGTGTGCTTGGTAATAGAGACAAAGATTTGAAATAGGGTCTTGAGGTTAAAATTGGTCCCTTTGAAGTGTTATTAGGAACTTTCCTAACACTCAGAGTGTTTCCTGTTATGGGCTACAGTTGTTTAAATTACTGCTCTCTGTCATTCAGAGTAAGTGAAACAGAAGTTGTACTGCTGCATCTTGAAGGATTGCTGTGTACTGTTTCTAGATACTTACAGCTGGTTTGATTTTGGAGACCTCTATAATGAAGTAGACACTTGCTGTGGCTCGTGGGATGGGTTTTCTGCGTGTTGGGGTGCTCCAGCAGACTCTGTAATGGTACCTCTTGCTATACTTCATATCCTCTTCCCGGAGAAATTGTGTCCAGTGAAGCCAACTTTCATGAAACTCCCATGTCTGCTGGGCACACATCACACTGTAAGGTTCCCTCTCTAGCGGGGAACACTGAAAGCAGATGCTAAAAACAATAGGAGTGGCTCTCACTTATTTTTTCATTCTAAACAATAGTGAGAGGGTATGATCTAACCGAAACTTCCAAAAGGTTCATATTTATAGATGCTATGAAATTAGCAGATGGAGTGTCACTCACAGAGATGTATTCCTCAATCTGCTCCTGTCCTCTCTGCACGGTGAAGTCCTTGCATGTGGTCCACTGGATATTTTTGATGTCATATTCAGCTGCTGAAAACAGATAAAATGCTGAGGAAGCCTTCTGGGAAGCTCTGATAAGACGCCAGACATTGCAGCTAAAGCAAGCTCACTCTCTTTCTCTTTTTCTTGCAAATCCAGAAGATACTCTTTTGCGCTGCTTATCACGTTTTCAATGAAGCTGCGGGCCTGCTCCTTGAGGGCAGCATCTTCCTCTCCTGTGTCCATTGCCATCACCTTTAGAAAGAGAAGTGCCCGAAGTGGCTCCGAGGGGGACGCTCCTCAGCACTCAGGGAGGGACGTTTGGTAGCGGGAAGGAGCCTGGTGACAAGGGTGGCTGTCGTGATCCCAAAGCGCTTTCTCAGGGTCCCCACCGTGCTGCAGTGTTTGTCCTTCCCTGCTTGCTCCGCTGCCCTTCCTGCCTGGAGTGTTTGGGCTGGCGCTGCCCTGGCAACCCGCGCGCCTGGCAAGGGAGGAGCCCGGCGGCTCCGGTGATGGAGCCCGGCCGCTCGGGTGATGGAGCCCGGCGGCTCCGGTGATGGAGCCCGGCCGCTCGGGTGATGGAGCCCGGCCGCTCCGCGCGGGACTCCCGGCCGCTCCGCTCTGCAGCCCGGGCCGGC